CAGTGCCGATGCTAATTTCGTTCTTGATTTGTACGGTAATGAAAATGTTGTAATTCCAATTCTGCTTCCGGTTTCAACTTTGAGCTGAATTTCTTCTTCGATTTTGGTTTAGATCTTGATCTGGATTTGAATTGTTTCGACGAAATTGTCGATCGCAAATTTGTTTCGAAATTGCGTGGAGATTCCAGCATTAAACTTCGTTGCCGATCGCGTGTACGCAAGGACATGCGATACGAACTATATCTTTGTTAAGCACTTTGTGATTGATCGATATTTTCGACACTTTCGTCGTGTGTTCTTCTCTCGGGTTAATCGATGCTGAATTCGGTTTACGAGAAAACGTCTGCTATGATCGTTCCAGGAACGATACTAACGAATGTCAGAGAAAATAAAAGCACCGAAACGACGAGTGTTGTACCTGCAACGTGCAGCAAGTAACACTGTACAACTTGGTTCCACTGTGACTCCCTCCTTTAGAGTTGCAGCTACGAGCGTGCGTGCCTTCGAGCTTTTGTACTTGGTTACACTGTTCCTCCGTGCCAGCGTACCTCCGTACCTCCGTACCGCTGTACCGCCGTACCTCCGTACTTCTGTACCACCGTACCGCCGATCCTCCGTACCGCCGTACCACCGTACCACCGTACCGTTGTTCCTCTGCGCTTCTTCGAGTGCACGAGCGAGCGGGTTGGTGAAAGCGCGCGCGCGTACGCCCGCGCACTACTCCCTGCGAACAGCACCGCGCACTGTGTACCCCCTATCGCCGCTGCGCCCCTCAACAGAGAGGGTTGCGGCTCATCTTAGAGCGCATGACGTTACCTACGTCGCATTCGGTGCATTCGGCGCATTCGCCGCATTTGTCGCATCGGGTCGCCTTCGGAGCTATATCTCTCGTTTACCTGCTCTCTCCACTCCATATTCCACACCCTTCGTCGAACACAGACAGATTAGCAGACCGTTATCCTTTCTTGGAAATCTTCATGCGTGTAATCTCGACCACCACTGTGTCGCCCCTTTGCCTCTTTTCTTATCCATTGTCGCTTATCGTTACGAACTGCCAGTCAAAGGAGTTTACGATCGATTCATAGTTTTGCTCGATGCGTGCACGCAGCACCTGTATCGTGGATTTATATCGTAGGCATCCAGACGATGTATGCACGGTACACAGGCACACAGACACACAGGCGCGCACACAGGCGCGCACACTCGCAAGCGCACACTTAACGTACTTAACGGGTACGTAGATGCGGGCGCACGTTTGCAACCCGCAATAAGCAGACGCGCGTAAAAAGCTGCGTATGCACGTTGACACGCGTAACATTGGCGGCTATGAAATGCAAAGAAATAGAGAAAGCGAGGATTGACGATCGAATGGAAAAGCGAAATGACAACGACCTCAGCGACAACGCCGCATTGCGGATCCGGTGTGGTGACGTGCAGCTGACCCCTTCCTGAGCCGTTTATGACCGCCCACGTTGTTCGACCTACCGACCCATATAGTACATATGCGTTCGACCTACTACCATCCGACCTTAGTTCCGATCCGATACCTTTCACCATGCGTTAGCCACTGTCACATGTTAAATACGTCACGGGATCGCTTCTACACTGTGCGTACTCCAATATGCTATCGCAAATCCTCCGACGGAGACCTTGCTCGCGTTGCCTCGATGGAACGCGTCTCTCGTAACTACCGGGTTGCTCGAATCGTTTCAATCGTTACAAATTGTTTCCGACTGATCTCGAATGATGAGAAATGCGCCAGTCTGCGAGTCTGGCATGCGATACCGTTTCAATCGAAACCACGCGTGCAGCTAGTTCGCGGAAAGAAAAAGGCTTTTGTCTCTTCCCTTACCTGCCAAAAAACCGCCACGATCCGACGTGTTTCTGCTCCTCGCTGAAACGAATCTGCGACGCGTGGTGGTTGCAGATTCTCTTCTTGGGCTCGTGCAGATACTCCTTCGTTGAAATCGTGCCAAAGGTCTCGAAAGCATCGATTACAGTTGCCAACGCTCGCGAACTCGTCGCAACTGTGAATTTTCCTAGCAGAATTTTTCCATCAGCCACCATGCATTTCTTCGAATGAGCATATCGAGAAGACGATTTCCTCCGAGCGTTTCTAACGCGTGTTTGCGCGGCAAACCGCGCGAGGATCGATTATAGCTGGTTAATAACTTATTACAGTACTTTATTAAACTCGTTAAGTTCGTAGATTACCTAAATACACACCCTGCGGTGAATTTCAGTACACATCAACGTACGAGTGAGAGTGAAAAGTGAGCATGCACCTTACAAGGGCAAGGTTTATCTAATACTTGCATGACATCCTATCAACGAGTAGATCGATAATACTGTAAATACAGATGGATCGTTTAATTAAACGAAATTTCAACGAAAAGGAAAAGAAGGAAGCAATCTCTGAACTGCAACAAACAAATCTTACGATTCGGAACAGTGCCGCAGTCCCTGATATAGCTGGACGAACGATAGTACGTATATAATTTGAATCTTTATCGAATAAATCTTGCGCGTTTAAGGCGTACACTCACTTTGACTCGAGCACTGTACTCTGGACTAAACAAATGAGCGGCGTCTTTGTCAATAATGATTTCGCGTGTAATTATCAGCGCTGTATCATATGTAATTTCAGTATTTTCCATGTTTCTCCTTCCAGTAATAGATTATCGTAATCGTTCCGGAACGATGATCGATTATCGGAACTTTGCCTGACAGTACTCACTCGCGTACGTACTTGCACGCGCGTAACGAGCACGCATTCGTTGACTTTATATATTCTCGAACCGACAGATCCGTAGAAGCGGCAGTCTTTACCACGATCTATCATCTACGATCGTCCGCGACACTCGTTACACGCGTCGTACTCTTTCCCTCTTTCGAAATTGACCTCTTGCACCGCGATTTCCTGCAAAATTCCAATCCGATTCTCTATTTCTTGTTACTTATTGTATCGCCGCTTCTGTCTCGTCGGATCATATTCGCACAATACTTGTTCTCCGTGTGATGCAATCGTAACTTGCTTCTCGATAAACGATGGCGGATTCGGTTCTAGAAGACTTTTTCCATTTACTTCATCGGATGTGCTCCCGATTCTGATATGTGCGCTGGTTAAGATCAGAGCAATAACGAAACGAGGCAAGTATATCGAGGGCGACATAGAAACGTTTCAAGACTCGGAGCGTTGGACATGGAAAAGTGAACAACAGTCCGTCGGTAACAAAAGGGGGGTGAGAAGAATGGGCACAGTGGATCTGAACCGGGGTAGGAACAAGGACGAAGCTACGAGTCCAATGGATCAAAAATATATGCACAATCAGCCTGCTTACGAAGAGTAAGTAGGTGGTATGACACACGGAAGGGATGCTTCGATGAAAAGTTT